GGGGCCGGGGGCTTTTATGTACCGGGAGGTAGGAAGGGGCGGGTCTGGGAGGCTGGGCCAATGAGAGCAAGGGAGGGGCGAGGCGGAGCCAATGTGGGTGGGCGGGGCCCGGCTCGAGCGTGTGGGCGGGGCTGGTGGCATCCTGGGGGATCCTGGTAAGACCGCCTCCTCCATGCTGCTAGCTACCTGAAGCCGCCCAGGTGGCACCTGTAGGGCCCCTCCCAGTCAAACCTAGGACTCTGAGCTTAGGTGCCTGCCATATCTGAGGCCTCGATTTTCCAAACTCTAAAATGGGCAGAATTATTGCCATTTCCACTTTCTCCATTTCTGGGACACCCAGTTCCGTCCAGAACTTTGTCTAGGGCTCTTCTGTTGAATTGTTCACCTGTGAACTGCTTCTGGATGTGGTTTGTTAGGTGATCTGCTAGCTAGTGCTGATTTCAAATCCCTGGTTGCCTTTTAAACCTTCCCCTCGCTCTCGGAGGGGAGAAGCTGTGGACCCCCGACATAAACTCGGCTTAACGCTTTGAGGATTTGGTTTGCAGAAGGTGAAGGAGGCGTGGAATAGGGAGGAGTGTTTTTGAGAGAGTTAGAGGAACAGAAACTCACTTGCTTCCCCGTGGGTGGCTCTGTAAGACGTGGTGCTGTCTGGTGGGGTGAGGGGAGAGGCTTGTTGAGGAAGATGGACCAATCAAGGTCTCTCCTGGGGATGGGGAGCCAGTGTGGCGTGAATTTTTTAGATCCCTTAAGCGGCTTCTCTTGGCCAGAGACATGTTTTCATGTCAACCCAGTCAATGAGGTCACATGTCGCCGAGGAGATTCCAGTGTCCAGGCCACATGGGCAGAAGGACACCCTAGGTCAGGGGGAAGGGGAAGCCCCCACTCCGGTTACAGGAGAAGCTGACCCACTGCCCTATGGAGCCACTAGATCATTTTAAGTCTTGTTTTCAAGCAGCCAGCCAGGCCAAGATGCCAAGATGCCTCTGTCTGGCTTTGGCGCAGACAGACTATAACAAACCACCACCATTTCTTCTACATCAGTGTATTCCTGGGGCTTCCCTTCTCAAGGCTTAATCCCCAAGAAGTCACCCTTCTAGGGTGGGCTGGGATAGGGGGGCAGCTCTTCCTATACCAGGTCCCTTCTGCCAGGAAGTGGGACTCCTTGGTCTGTTAGGACAGCACAGATCTGTTTTCAGTAAACATCTAGAAATGCCAGCGATGTTAGAAAGGTCACCTGCACCTGGAGGCACAGGTGATGTTACTGCTTAACTGGCCTTGTGACTGCCCAGATGAAGGGCCTGAGCCCAGGGGTCACTTCAGCTGGGTGCTCTAAGGTGAGTTTACTCACTTCTCTGGGCCATCATTCCCTTCTGTTGGAGGGCCACCTGGTATCCCCTGGGCATCATCTTCCACTCGGTTATTGTGCTGTGGATTCCAGAAAGTAGCATCGGACACAGGACTGCTCCCAATCTCTCAGCCACTGCTGTTAGGAGGATGCTCCGTGGCTCCTGGCAGCCCTAGGGATGACACCCTTCCCACAGGTTTTCAACGTTGTGTTTAAAAGCCCTCACTGGCTATGGGGGCTGCAGACAAGGCGCCCTGGATGCTGGATCGAAGGGCTCTGTTTTCAAATGCGGAGGTGGCTCTTTCCCGGCTCCTGAATAGCCTTTCCCCAGCTGCAGGAGGGGAGCTAGAAAGAAAATTCTCCCCCGAACCCATCTTATCCTGGAGGCAGCTGGGTAGGGACCTGGGAAAGGTCAGGGACTCCACCTTCAGACGCAACAGCACCTGCATGGTCTTGCCAACCCAGGGCTTCCTGCTGTGAGCTCCTGGTGAGGGCAGGCATGCCCACTGCCGCCAGTGACAGGAACTTCTTCATAGGGCCTCTCACAGGCGGTAGATGCAGCCAGGCTTTTGACAGCCAGGCAGTGAACCCCTGGCGCCTCCACAACCACTTGACAGCCAGTCAGGCTCCTAAGGTTGGGGACTGGGGTGGGGTGATGGGAAAGTTGGCTTGGAGAGATTGCCTTCCCAGATGTGGAGGGAGGGGAGCTGTGAGCAAATTGGCAAAGAAAAAGGAAAAACAGTGCCAAGAAGCAGTCTGCCCTAGAGAGGGCCTGTGGATACTGAGCAGAGAGGAGGAGGATGGGGGGCTAAGAGGAAGAGCTTGTGCAAAGGCCCTGAGGCAGGAGGGGGTCTGGCTGAATTGGAAGAATGTGAACCACTGGGGCTAGAACATCCAGCTCCTATGGGGCAGAAACAGAAGGGACCTTGGAAAGGGCTCTGGGGGTCGAGGATTCTCTGATGGGCATACTGGGAGCCTTAGGAGCAGAGGAGAAAGGAACTGGAACTGATGAAAGGCCCTGTAGCCTCCAAGCGCAGGTGTGAAGCCAGGAGGCTGTGCCCAGGAATGACAGGGCGGTGACCAGATGTGGCCCGCTGTCTAGTTTTGTTTTTGTTTGGATGACCTGTGAGCGAAGAATGGCTTTCCTAATGTTTAATGGGGGTGGGGAATCATCTGTGGCACAAGTAATAGTTCACGAGTCTATAAGGCAGTGGTTCTCAACCTTCCTCATGCCGCGACCCATTCATACAGTTTCTCATGTGGTGGTGACCCCCCCCCCCAACCATAAAATTATTTCGTTGCTACTTCATAACTGAAATTTTGCTACTGTATGAATCGGGCGACCCCTGTGAAAGGGTTGTTCGACTCCCAAAGGGGTCTTGACCCACAAGTTGAGAACCGCTGCTCTAAGGGAACACTGATGCTCGGGAGGCGCACTCCTTAGAATAACCAACCACACTTGAAATCCAAAGGGCAACATTTACAGGAGGACAAAGTTCAGGAGGGAGAGGGGAGGAGGAAGAACAGAATCATTGGGGGGAGGGGGGGGAAGTGGGGTGAGCAGGCCTACGTCTTAGGGCGGGCAGTCAGTGAGAGGAAGCAAAAGGTGTGAAGTGTTAAGTGGAAAACAGGTTGCTCTGGAAACCTTTGCCCAGTTCACAATGGAAAGTCCGGAAAGAAGGAAGGAAGGAAGACAAACTAAACAGAACGGCCAGATGGATGCGGACGTTTTTAAGGAAAAACACTGTAAATGTGTGCCGTGCCCTGTGAAAATGACATGAAATTAGAATCTCAGTGGCTAGACGTCGTTTTGTGGGAACACAGCCCCACGCAGTTGTTTGCTCCTTGTCTTTGGCTGGCGTTAGTTCTTTGTATTTTTCTTAACAATGCTGTGTTTGGGGTGCAAGTGTGCACAGCAGATTCGCTTCCCATTCAACAATTTGTACTGATGGTTTGGTGACATCGGTGACATTTGGCACCACGTGTGAAAGTTCTCCTCACTCCCGTCCTGGTCTTTCCATTCCCAGTCACCTAGTTCCTCTGCCCACCCTGCCCCACCCCACCCTCTGTAATCGTAAGGCATTGTTGACAGTTTGGACTAATGTCTATGTGAGTTGGGTTTTTTTAAGGAACACAGTACTCATGGGAGGTACTCCTTATGATTTCAGGGGCTAGTTTTCGGTCAAGGTTTAAAGAGTAGCTCAGGGCAGTGATTTCAGGGTGTCCTCCAATCTCAACCAGCCCAATAAGTGTGGATTTTTTTAGGCATCCAAAGTTCTAGTCTACATTTTTGCTTCCATTCTATCAGGATTCATCTCCTGTGGCCCTGCTGAGAATGGTTGGCAGTGGATGCCAGGCACCATCTAACGCTGGTCTCAGGGTAGATGAAGCCGTGACTGTGCCGATTATTAGCTCTGTAGTTTCTTCTTTGAGTCTTTGACATCCCTTCTCTTTGGCTCAAGATGACTGGAGACAGACAGTTGTATCTTAGATAGCTGTTCGAAGATTTTAAGACCCCACATGCTAGTTGCCCAACTGAGATGTAGAACATAAGCTTGTTTGAAGTTACAAGAGTCCCCCAGATCTCAAATGTAATTTAAGGACAACTTTATAAAGTATTAAAACAGGACAAGAAAAAGACACATCATCTGGATGAGGGAGGCCATAGGACGAGGTCATGATGGCGTCCAAAGGTTCATAACCCCACAACTGCTTCAATAAGGCATTGAGCACAAAGGAAACTGTCACAAATTCTTGCTTGGTGGCAGATGCGAACACCACAGTTAAGGTGAGAATACAGGAGAGGGAGCAGACGCAACAGGGCATGACTCATGGCTATTTGACACACCCCACCCCACCCCTAGTTCAGGGATCTCTGTCCAGGAAAATGCCCATCAAGCCCCTAAGGGACAATGCCCCTCCCAGGGTTGTCTGGAGAGGTGGGGGTCGGTCAGAGGGATTCACTGGAGGCTTAATCCACATGGGCCTCTGCAAGTGGATTTGGGCTTTCACTGTCATCCAGAGCCCAACAGGAAGGAAGGGAGGGCTCAGAATTTAATCTGTAACATAAGCTTTAAGAATGATACTGTGTCCTTTGGCTGAGTCATCTCTCAATATTCTGGTCCTAAGCCTCCAAACCTAGAAACCCAGTGCTGTGAGATTTGTTTAAGGTGTGCTTGTAACTATGTGCCCTGTGTCCTTTGGTGTACTTACTGCCTGTGGCTGTTTTGTGTGTTGGGTTCCTAACCCCCAGCTGCTCCATGGCAGAAAGATGTGGCTTTGTACTTCCGTACAGAGTTACAGTCTCAGAAACCCAGGGAGGCGATTGTACTCTTCCCCAAAGAGCTGTGGCTCTCCACCTTCCTCATGCCGCCACCCTTTCATACAGTTCCTCATGTGTGGTGACCCCCCCAACCACAAAATTATTTTCGTTACTACTTTATCACTGCCATTTTGCTATTGATATGAATCGGGTGACCCCTGTGAAAGGATTGTTTGACCACCAAAGGGGTCATGACCCACAGGTTGAGAACCACTGCTATAGAGTCACTCTGAGCCAGAATCCCCCCCCAGGGCAGTGGGTTTGGTTTTTGGTTTGAGTGGCTGTTGTTGCACCGTCATTACAGAGTTGACTACTTGTGACTCACCATCTAGGCCATGGAGTCAAAAATATTTACTGCTTGGCCCTTTAAGATGTTTGCCAACCCCAGAGCTAAAGTCATCGAGTCACACATTCCCCACAAAAAGTTCCTCATTTGCAGGGAGGTGCAGCCCCCAGTGCTTTCTGTGGCACATTCATTGCTGGGCAGTAGGTGTGTGTAGTGAATTCACGTTGCATACAGCATGCTCCATAAACAAAACGTTCTCATGCTCAAAACGCGTGAGGCACTCTTTATGCTGTCCAGATATATGCGCTTTATTCCTCTCTAGGGAGGAAAACGAGGCTTTCTACCCCACTAGTTACCCTCTCAGGAACCCACAGGGACAGCCCTCCCCTGCCCGCTAGGGTCGATATATGAGTCCGAACGGAGTCAGTGGCAGTGAGTTTTTCCGAGAGGAAAGGAGGTTCTTGGGGAAACTCGGTGTTCTGTGGCCACCTTCTTAGAGAGTGACAGTGGGTGTGCTGAGTGGGCCCCCAGGACAGAATTCAGCTCAGCTGTTTCTAACTCTTCTTGGCCCTTTTTGCCCTCAGCCTTTCTGACCGTCCTCCCCTCCTTCCCACCCCCCTGCAGCTGAGTGGAAGGGGTGCAGCCCACAGGCTTGTACCCCTTAAAGGAGAAATTCCGGTTCCAACCAAAAATTAAATTCACTATGTGTGACCTCCTCCCTGGGGGACAGACAACCAAAAAGTGGATGAAGGGAGACGTCGGACAGGGCAAGATATGACAAAATACCCATTTATAAACT